TTTGCTTATGATACAATCACACCACATACATGATTTATAGATGTATGAAACTCTAAATATTCCACCCAAACAGAACTAATAAACAAACTTGGTAGTGAACTGCCCAAAGTGGTTCCATTGTGCTCCAGTTGGCTGTGTTTTGTGCTTCACCCAGCTGCTCCCCACTCCACCCCACTAACCATTCCATCCAGATTATTTGTATCCAGCTACATCTTCAGTACCAGGAAGTCCATTGTTTCTGAAACACAGGGAAGCTGATTTTTGAGAAAACGTATTTGTATTAACTGACTTGGCCCCGGTTTGATGTAACTTTGGTTTTTGGCTTGGCCCTGGCATGATGTTATCTCTGATTTGGGGCTTTATAAACCCTACTCTGCTTTTCCTCAGGGTGGAGCCTTCTTTCTGGCATTAGCCTCTCAACTGCCTGCTAACTGAAGGACTCTTAATTTAACCATCACCACATTGCATTCCTCTGTAACTTGCTTGGGGTGTAACAGTAAAGCTGCTAGACAGGAACTCAGCATGTAAAAATAAGTAGCCGTTTAAACAGACGGCCAACTATCTGACAAAGCAATCAAAAATCCCGTTTAAATGTTGCCAACAGCATCAAACATCAATAAAAACAAAACACTTAGGAATAAATTTAACCATGGTTTTAAAGTCTCTAAAAACAGAAAATTGTGAAACACTGATGAAGGAAATTGAAGAAGACCAAATAAATGGGAAGATAACCTGTTTTCATGACTCGGAAGAATCAATACTGTCAAAATGTCCATGCTACCGAAATGATCTAGAGTTCTGATGTACTTCCTGTCAAAAATATAATATTCTTCACAGACATAGAAAATGAAATCCTAAACTCCAGAGAATCACAGCAAAAGACTTTTAAGTACCAAAGCAACACAGGGAGTGAGTAATAACACCATAATTATTGTGGACTCAGAGCTGGGGGCATTACACCACCTAATTTTAAAAATTGCTACAAAGCTATAGTAACCACAATAGCATTATACTGGAATAAAACAGTCCCAGAGAGCAATGTAACTAAACAGAGAAACTATAGATCCACAAACTTCAAACCAATCAGTTGTTGGGACAGATGCCAAAAACACACAATGAAGAAAGGATGCTATCTTCAATAAATAGCATTGGGAAAACTGGATAACCATATGCAAAAGAAAAAACAGACTCATCTCACAACACACACAAAACCAACCTAAATGGATTTAAGACTTAAGCATAGTAACTGGAACTTTAAAACAGCTATAAGAAAACTTGAAGAAAATTTCTTGCAATTGGTCTGGGCAATAATTTGGTGGAGGGATGACTCTAAAACTATAGGCCACAAAGCATAAATATACAAATGAAATTGTATTGAACTAAAGAGCTTCTATACTGCAAATTACACAATTAACAAAAGAATGAGAAAATCTATATGATAGAAGAGAGAACTTATAAACCATCCATTAAGAGGTTTATATCTAAAATATAAAATGAACTTACAGAAGTCAATACAAATAAAATAAACTGCATGCTTTAAAAATGGACAGAAGGGGCTGGAGCATTGGCTTACTGGGTCAAGTGCTTGCCACACAAGCATGACGATTTGAATTTGGATCCCCAGCACCCACATGAAAAGCCAGGTGTGCCACTATATATGCCTGTAACCCCAGGTGCAGAAAGATACATACTAAATGATCTCTTTTCTACATGGACTCTATTCTAAAACATCAAAGCCCACAGAAGAGGAAAGAATCGTGGTCACTAGGGGCGGGGAGACAGAAAGGAATGACAAGATCTTAGTCATAAGATGCTTCATCTGGGGAATGGGAGGGAACAACCTAGAGATGTGCAATGCAGTGGTTAGTTATAGCAATGGATTATATACTTGAAATATCACTGCAGTAAAAGAAAAGCATCATGTGAGGTAATGGATATGTCAATTTCCCTGATTGTTATAATAATTTCAGGGTGAATATACACATATTAAAACATCATGCTGTGTTCCATAAATACACACAATTTTCTTTTGTCAGTTAAAAAGCTGCCAGGAAATCCCACTTTAGGTATCCGAAGTCAAATCTCTCCATTAATATTAGAAGTAGGTAGAGTACATCCCAGCAGGAATGTCACAGAGAGATAAATTTAGGAAATAACAAGGCAAAAAAATACAGTTCTCAGTTCTCAATAAAATAAAAACAAGTAAGAGGGAAAGAAGTAGAGAGGTGGACGATGGGGAGGAAGACACGTGCCGGCTCCCACATCAACCAGGGAGTGTTAAACCAGTTACCGGGGGCATGCAGAGTAAAACCAAAGGCCACTTCTCTTCTCCCCATGTTCCTGACCCTAAACATGATATTCCAACTACCAAGAGACCAGCAACATGATTAATCCACTACAAGCTAGCTTTCCCATAGCCCTGCTGGTCACATCCCTGTTTCTCCAAGTTTCTGCCCCCTATGTCACAAAGGGGCCAACAATGACATTGTCAATCAGTTAAAGAAGGCATGCTATGTTCACCAAGATCATTTTGATTAGAATCCAAAAAACAAAATTAGCCTATTTCAAATTTCATGATGAATAAATTCAATAATTTTATTTAAAGTTTAGATATTTTTAGCATCGATAGCTGTGGCCACATACTATAGGTATTTATTTGAGTAGTCCTGGATATTACAGAAATTTAGAACTTTATTGCTAAATTGGGCTCTAACAATTTTCTATGAGAGTTCTCTCTTTATGTGAGAAAGAATCTCTAGAGATAAACAGAGTTAGGCATCCAGTATAATATGAAGACCAACCATTTTAACTTCCAACCCATTGGGCTTTTTCCCAATGTTATATTGCAGTTTCTAAGTTTATGGCTTCATTTTTATATTAGAAATTTCTAAGAACCTGTAATACCCATAGGAAAAATACCTGCAAATTGTTAATTTTGTAACATACATAGAATTTTCTTTTAAAATATTAAAACAAGTATCAGTATTCTAGAAGGTGAAAAACAGGCCAAGTTAATAAAAAGTGAAAGGCTTTAATGCCTCATTTGCAATTAATATTGCATATTTTAAATGGAGGCCAAAAGGGGAGCTAAATGAGGGCTGCTTCCTGCCTATCTACACCCTGAGCAATAGAGTTTTGCCATTAATTAAATTTATAAAGATCCAAAGGAAGGCCTTAGTGATGGTGATGTGGCCGGGAAATGATGGGCAGGGGCTAGGGGCACCCAGGTATCTCTAATGGGCTGTGGGGGCTTAGTACTCACTTCCCCTCTATGAATTTCTGTTTCCTTGTTGTGCAATCAGGAAACGTTTTTAAATTATGAGTCTGTTGCTGGCCTCCCTTTGGCCCTTTGGTGCATGTGTGTGATCATGCGTTTTTCTAAGAAGAGGTTCTACTGCTTTTATTAGATTGCCAAGACCTTGGGACATAAAATACACTAACTACCTTCATACTAGTGTCTGAGGTCTCTCTTAAATTTTCAAATGTAATAAATAAAACTGTATAAATGTATTACAGATATAATTAGAATTTCAAATGGAAAATAGGCATTACTACAATTACTGGGATAAATATGATTACTTGGAAAGCATAGTCTACACAGAAAAGAGCTGCTGATCAGCAGTACGTTTGAGTCAACTGAAGTATTTCCTGGACCCATCCAGACTGCGTGGGACCACTACGCTCAGTTGCTTCAGCAATGGAAAGTCTAGCTACGCCACGAGGCTCCTGACCTGCTTCCCTAGCATTAGCGTTTCAGAGGTCTGTCAAGAGTGTCCTACCACTTTGCTTGAATGAGACAGAGAAAACCCAGAGCAGTTTTCTCATCAATAAAATCTTTCTCAGTTTTGCAATGCCCAATCCAGAGCCATTTTGATTGTGATTTTCGGATTGTTGAATAGACAAAGTTTTCATATCATGTATATGATTGTGAAAGAGTCAGAAAATCGCTGCTTATTCAGATATTTCATCAATCATTCCTAATAACTATTCATTGGTGTTTAGTATGTGTTAGGAACTCTCCTAGGCACTTGAAATATCAGTGAACAAAATAAATGTAACCCACTTACATTCTCTGAAAAGAGACAATAAACAACATACATAAAATAAATTATTTTAAAGATGACACTTTCATAAATAAGAGGAAAACAGAGTAAAATGATTTAATAATCAAAGGTGAGTTTTAAATGAGTCAAGACTTAGTACCAAGAAAGTGTCATTTAACAAAGACCCAGGAAAGGAGGGACTAAGAGCCAAGTACAGGCTCTGAGAAATGACCTCTCCAGGCAAGAGGCAAGGGACAGAGTGAGGGCAAGCTTTATTTGCTCAAAGAATATTAAAAGGTCATTGTGGGAGAAAAAAGTCCAGACCCTGCTGCGTGGCCATGAAGTCCGTGACCGTCCCCTTCCAGGGGGCGTCTAAATTCTATTCCTTTGATATTTAATTTGAAAGTTATAATACCTAGTACATGTCATCACAATCCCCTATTATTACAGAAACACAAAGTTAACATTCTGGAAATTTAAGAATCATAATAAACCATGACCTGGTTGATCTGTTTGATATGCACTTTAAGTCTCTCAATTATCAAAAGCATATATTCCATAATGAGCTGTTATCTGATATGCAAATATGCCATTTCATAGGAGAGGATGTCATATAAAAGACGTCAAATAAAAGACTTTCATTTTAGAAGTTTAAGGATTAGGCACAAAGACATCTGTTATTCCCATAAAGAGAAATTCCAGATTCATAGGCTACATGAAAGAAAGCCTCCATTCTTCCTAAAATGTCACTGCTCTTTTAGCATGTGCTACATTGTTCCCTTCCACAGCTTTCTTCCAGAAGTTAAAACAATCAGGATTATTGTAGAACGTACAAGGCATTTCTCAGGGTTAACAGTGCATAAAAACAAGAACCCTAGAAAACCGTGCTTCTTTGTGAGAGGCAGATCAGGTAGTCCTTCCTCACAGGGCACATCTTATACCTGCTTTCTGACTCACGTGTGGAGCAGCCATGCTGCGAGAGCCTAGCAGTGTAACATGAAGTGTGGGCAGCTGTACCTTGTCCTTCTTGACAAAGCCAGTGGCAGCAGCAATGTTCCCTGCTCCCTCCACTGTCTTCTGGGCCACTGCTGTTACACCGGTCACCACGGCCCCTCCAACATTTGTCACTTGCTCTTTGGTCTTCTCAGCCACTAAGAAAATCAAAAAGAGCAACAGATTAAAAGATGGAGGAATGACAATGACTTTAACTGGTTCCACTAGCTTTCAACTTCCACATACATGTATTCACGTAAATCACAGACAGCAGGAGTCAGAAGAAACAAGGTGTAAAGGTGGAAGTGGAATGGTTTGGCCAAACACCAAATCATTTCAGATATTAAAAGGTGTTGCGAGTTTGCACATCATACATAGCAATGTTGAGTTGGGTCTGGTTTGTATTAGGTGGATTTACAGAAATGATGCTCACAGGTATAGTCACAGGTGGTCATATCAGCACATTACTGCATGATTTGTCAGCATGACGCCAGCACTTTGAGCTCACTTACCAAGTTTACTTCCATTACACCTTCTAAGTGAACACTACTTAGCATTTAGCATCACTAATATGAAAGTCCAAAATTCAAATTGGTCCTAAATCCTTAACTTCTGAGCACCACCAATAAGTCACTAATGGAAAATTCCACATCATGAACCCTTGTTACATGCTCAGAATTAATTGAAGTATTGTACGAAGTTGCCTTCAGGGTATATATATAAGATAGATGAAACATAAACAATTCCATATTTAGATTTGGACCCCATCCCCAAGACATGAATATTCCTAAACAAGAAACAGTTAAAATCTAGAATGGAGGGCTGGAACGCTCAGCAGTTAAGAGCACTGGCTGCTCTTGCAGAAGAGCAGGGTTTGATTTCCAGCACCCACATGGTGGTTAACAACTTTCTGTAACTCTGGTTCTGGGGAAATCCGATGCTCTCTTCTGACCTCTGCGGGCACTGCACTACACAGGTGCACTTACATATATGCAGGTAATACACTCATAAACATAAATTTGAAAAATAATAACAAATAAAATATTTAAAATCTGGAACACCTCTTGTCCTTTAGGTAAGGAGGTGCTCAGTGTCCATGCATGAGGAGCAATGACACAAAAGGGCATGGTGGAGAAACAAAACTGTTCCTTTCTTAAAGACATTTTCTTTTTAAATTATGTGTATTTGGGGAGGGGGAGTAATATGCACATGAGTGGATGCCAGAAGAGGGCGTCAGATCCCCTGTAGCTGAAATTACAGGAGGTAGCCAGCCTCTGAAAGACTCTATGGAAGAGCAGTGAGCTCCATTAACCACTGAGCAATCACTCTAATACCCCAAAAAGGTTCTTAATGATAAGACTGAGTTTCAGTCATTTTAGTGGAAACAGAGAAGCTAGACTTTTAGTAAGTGTGAAGAGATTTATTGAGTATATTTATAATTTATTTCCATAAAAATATGATAATTTACTATGTTGACTTTAAAACAATTTATTTTTATTTTACATGTATGTTTTGCCTGCATGTATGTAAGTGCACCACATGCATGCAATGCCCTCAAAGGCCAGAAGAGGGCATTGGATTCCCTGGAGCTAGGGCTTCAAATGGTTGTTAGCTACAAAGTAGGTGCTGGGACTTGAACCCTGTTCCTCGGCAAAAGCAGCCAGAGCTCTTAAAATGAGCCATCTCTCCAGCCCTTAACAAGTTTAAAAACTAAAAAAGATACTACAAATACTTTAGATAGGATATATAGTCAAAATTTTTATTTTCATATCGACAATTCTCCATGACATCCTAGAAGCACACTGAACTGCTAAATTAATCTTTCTTTACTATTCCATATGAGTATGTATCAGAAAGGCTAAGTAAAAGAAAGTTTGGTTAGATTAACTCCATGGTTCTAAAGAAAAAAAAGCCAGGAGAACTTGTTCTTTTAATAATTCTAAGGTAAAGACAGAAGGAAAACTACCTCTGTTCATCTTAACCTCTATACCCCGTGTCCACAAAGCCTGACGCCTCTCGGCTCTCACCCACATGAATGCCATGTTTGCCTTTCATTTATTCTACAAATTTATTTTTTGGTGTTGCCCCGAATTTCAGAGTTTTGGGTGTTTGAGTAATACTCTTCCTTCATTTTCTTTCCTAAGCAAATAACACATGCTTTTTGTTTCACATTCCACTGAGGAGCCTGTCTGAGGAAGCCGAGGGGAGAAAACAGCCCTTGTCACTCATGCATATGGTGAATGGCTATTCAGACTTCATGTCATGAGCTGGAAAGGTAGATAAAGCAGCTCATTTTGAAAGGAACAAGTTCAGCTGTAGAGATGGGGTGGTTTGTAAGGGTGTGGGGCTTACCCATTAGACCAGGAAGTATGGACGCCTGCTGGTCAGGCAAGCTGAAGCCCATGTCCACAGATGTTTCTAGATCTTTCCAAGTCTAGCTACCTGTTCCCTGCCACTCTGAAGATAATAGCTGCTGCTGCCTGGGGAGTTACCAGGCATCTGCATTCCAAGTGTAAAGGCCAGGGAAAAGTTATACTAGGAATTTTATTTTAAAAAAATTCCTGGAACTATGGTGAATTATGTACTTCAAGTTGGGTTTTGTGTATTTTTCTTTCCTTCCAAAAATGTGGAGCAAAAAATTTTGCTTGAGATGAACCATCATGGTTGACTTTAGTTGTCAATTGGACACTCCTGGAAAGACCTCAATTTGGGAATTTTCTCTGTCAGATTGGCCTGAGGGCAGGTCTGTGAAGCATTTTCTTGTTTGTTGAATGATATGGGAGTGTCCAGCCCACTGTGGGTGATGCGACCCTGGACAGGTGATCTTAGGTTGTATAAGAAAACAGGCTGAGCACAGGCCAGAAAGCAAGCTAGTGCTCCTCTGTGGTCTGAGTTCCTGGCTTGGCTTCACTTGATGATGGACTGCGAGCTGTAGATCAAATCAATCCTTTCTTCCCCAAGTGGCTTTTGAGGAGCATTTTATCACAGCAATAAAAATTAACTAGGACATGAAACTTTTGTTATCACATCCCAAAACAGGGATGTAATAGACAAAGACAAAAACAGGTTCTAAATTTTTTACATACTCGGAGTTTTTCTGCCACGTTATATTATGTGGATACTTCTTCATATACAATGTAAACTTTAATCTCTTGTTTATAAAGGACAAAAACTAAATAGTAAACATAGTTTGTACATGATAATCATTTCACCACTTTATCATAATAACAGTAAAAAAACCAGTAACATTATAAAATGACAGGGTACAGGTAATGATAACAATGTTTTAAAAGGTGTCAATGTCTTTTACCCTGTCTCTCTGCCTATTGATATTGTATTAAAAGACAAAACAGGGCAAACTTACTTACACATTCTGGATTCATTTACTGCATCTATTTTATGGCTAAATACCTTACAATCACAATAAAAAGAGCATTTTCCTCCCAAACAACAGAGACAACAGTGCTTTAACTCACTCATGCTTCCTGTCATTTGCCAGCCTTGCAGCACTTGGTGCATGCAGTCACCTCTGTTCAGAAACCTTTACCCCAGTCCTGTTCATTCAACAGACTGAATTCCTTTGTTGAAACTCAGTTCAAATGTCACACCCCCTGTTAAAGAGCTCTCCTCCCAACAGCTGCCTTTCTTTTCTTCCACTGGTCCCATGCACTTCTGGATCTACCTAGATGTCTCTCTGCCAGTGAGCTTTTTCATATCACCAAGCTTACACATTTACCCATGTTTCCTGACTTCCATCTCCCTTTTTTGAGTCCTTTAAAATCAGGGTACAGCTGTAATTTTCCTCATATAATTTCATGATAGGTATTTAACAAATTATTCTGAATTCACTGAGAAGAACTTAGTATCCATCTTTAGTGCCCAAATTATTTCAATAATTAGGTTATATTTTATTTCAGTTTTTAAAAGTAAAATTTCAAAAAGAAATATAGCATCAGATTTTAGACTAAATATATTAAATTTAGTATAATAATTGACATTAAAATTACAAAATAAAATGATCTAGCTTTGAATTTATATAGAAATGACAGATTTAAGGAAATAAATAATTTACTAAAGACATTAAATTATAACATGCTGAAAATTAGTTCTGTTCATTGTGATATAAAGAATTTTCTTATAAGAATAAAATCTTGGCTGGGGCTGGAGAGATAGCTCAGCACTTAACACTACTGGCGGCTCTTCCAGAGGACCTGGGTTCAAATCCCAGCATCCACATGGCAACTAACAACCATTTATAAGTCCAGTTCCAGGGGATGGGATCCAACGCCTTCTTCAGGGCTCCACAGGCACTGAATTACACAGATACACTTATACACATGCAGGCATAACACTCATACACATAAATAAATAATAAATAAATAAATAAAGTTAAAAGAAAGAATTAAAATCTTGGTCTAGTGAGATGTCTCAGTAGATAAAGGCACTTGCTGCTCAAGCCTAATAATGTGATTTCAATCCCAGAGCACACACAAATGAAGGATGTAGAGAACTGACCCCATAGAGCTGTCCTCTGACCGCCACACTCTCTATGGCACATGTGTGCCCACACTCTCTCTCTCTCTCTCTCTCTCTCTCTCTCATACACACACACAAATAAATAAAACAAAAATTAAAAAATAAAAACCTTCAGAAAATCACCTTGTTAAAATCTTATAGTTATATCAAATATATAAAAATAAGTTTATATCACCATTTTTTAAAATTTTTTTTATTTTTGTCTTTTTGAAGCAGGGTCCCCCTGTAGCCCCAGCTGTCCTGGAACTCACTATGTAGACCAGTCTGGCCTTAAACTCACAGTGATCCACCGGCCTCTGCCTCCCAAGTGCTGGGACTACAGGCATGCACCACCACGCCCGGCTTGTCACCATTTATTTTTGAAGCAACTTCAAAGATGTCTTTCAGTAAATCTAATGAAACCTCACCAAGATCGCCTATCTCTGCTTCCCAGGTGCTGGGATTAAAGGCGTGTACCACTATACCCAGTGAAATATATTCTTATATCCCTGCCACACCATATATTAAACTGTAGATTATAATAATAATAGTGTGAGGTCAAAGTGGTAGAATTTAAAATGGCATTTTCTACATTTTTACTGTGAGATTATCTGACTGAGAGATTTTGTTTTCCTTGGATTTG